ATGTCCTATAAAAATTATAAAAATGTCTAGCGTTTCTTTTCTGCACCAAGGGGAATTAGTTAAGCATGAATCAATAGACCAGAGGGTAAGGTTGTATTCATAATGAGACATCTTGTTTAAACAGATATTTATGTATGCTTTTTCCCTAATCAACAATCTGCTCAAGAGGAGCTGGGATGAAGACAGAGTGTATGAGATAGCCATCTCTTATTATTCGATCCTCAAGTGATGTCTGCGTAACATACTACATATTTTCGGGGAAACACGGTATGTACGGATAGCATCATAAGTGGTTAAAGGGGAACTATGGAGTGAGTGCATTAAACTCACCCCCCTAGTTAGAGCCGACCTGTGACATACTGTCAAACTCAGCTCTATTGATCATAAGGTCAACAAAAGTGCACCACCACTCGCTCACTTTCCAATCATCTCCCTGCAGAGAGCGGTGACTGTCAGTCACTGCTCCCTGCAGGGATTCCCCCCTCCCCTCTCCGATGACTGGAGGAACGGACCGGGAGGGCATAGCCGGCTCCACCTCTTGATAAGCAGAGCCTGCTGTCAATCAGCCAGTGGGGTGGATCTCGACAGTATTATTGGGATCCGCCCTAGCTGTGGCGCTCTCAGCATTTAGCCGGCTATTTCTGAGTTTTGGGTCATGGGAGGACATTAGTGTTTAGACTGTCCTCCCGTGACCAGAAAGAAAAGTATGGGAAAAAAGTTGTCTTTTAAAGTAGAAGAAGACTAAGTGGGAACAGAAAATATTAATTACTTGAATGATTATTTTAAGCATGTGTGCAGAATTATGTATTATGCAACACTGAGTTTGATTGCCAACATAAAATGCTACAGTTGTCTCTATTATACATTATTTAAAAACAGTGTATCCCATTGTAAACTTTAACAGATAACTATTGACAAAAAAATGCAGTATAGACAATTTAAAGTGTATCTATAGCCAAAACCTTTTTTTGTTTGTTTTGGATAGAGTGGGAAAGGATTAGAACTCCTGTCAGGTTTTCCAGCCATTGGAGGCTCCATCAGACATTCCTTCACTTCTTGTCTGGATGTAACGGTTGTCTCCAGGACAGGAAGTGAGGGTCAAATCTCAAGTTAAGTTGGTGAATGCTAAAACCCTGCCAGCTTATTACTGTTGTCTGTTCCCTGTTGCAGGTTTTCCCTCACTTCTGGCCTGGTAAAAGATTTTCCCCAAAACAGAACGCGAGGTGAAATCTATCAGAGCTGTTGCATTATCTATCAGAGATGTTTTCTAACCCTCCTCCATTTTATCCAAAAAAAAAAACACAGGCAAAAAAAAATTCCAAATATCCCATCAGCAGATTTACTACAGGACATTTTATGAATCACTATTCCTATAGACCGTACAATATATTATTAATCACTGGGACTTGCAATGCTAATAACAGATAGCGGATCTCTACAGACATATCAACCACATAACATATGGATTTGTAATTTTCTTATTTAATGGATCCCTGGATATTTCAGTGAGTACACACGTACACAGCTATACCACAAGATATATCATTCTCTTGCATGACATATTTTACATTTATTTCTAATTACATCTCTTTATGTATAGACACAGATCAGGTTTGTCAGACATTCGGTAGATGATATACTCCTAATTATGTGACTTATGAACCAATTTATAAATGAGCGAAAAATAATGTTTTCACATTTATTACACAGCTTTGCAGATTAATCACATTGCTGCAAAGCTCAGTTTTTTTTAAAAGCAGAACTCCACGGAAAAATATTATTAACCCTTGCAGTGGGGCTACCCCCGCACTACAAGGGTTAAGTGCTCGATGTGGTCAAGACAGGGAAAAAAAGTTATATTGGCCTGTTCCTCGGAGCCAGGCAGTTGTGACAGTGCTCACTCCAGCCTCTCTCTTCCTATGCTGAAGCATTGGAATCCTCCTTAGTGTCCTCACTCCTATGCACTGTATATAGAACATGATGCTTTACAGGACCTTAGACCACTGCAACGGAGGGGGATCAGTGCTCCAGGGACCGGCCTAAGAGCAAGCCAGGCTCCATCGATCAGGTTAGTATATCTATAGCTATTTTCCTCCCTAGACCAAAATGAGCACTTAACCCTTGCAGTGCAGGGGTAGCCCCACTGCAAGCGTTAATAATAATTCTTCCCCAACTTCTTCAAACTAATATCACAAAATTAATTGTTGACATTTTTATGCAGGCGAACATAATTGTTTTCAGTAGAAGACTGTAAAATAGGCAGTGATACGGACTTCAGAAGTAATACCCTCCTGCAGTTCACTTTCTCACTAAGCTCTTTTAAATGGGTTTTAGTAAAGAGTTTAAATTTGCATAGGAACTTTGTGAGGGATGCAGTGTGGATTGAAGCAGCAGAACAAATGTAGACATTATTGGCATTGAAGGGTGCCTTTTTATGTAGTAGGGGGCTTAATTTGTACTTGTCTTGATCATAACAGAAGCACTTTAGGTAAGAGGGCCAAAGCTGCTGATTGCTTGGACAAGGCAGCGTGAGTCAATTTAATTTGCTCTGCTTTACCTTTACAGAATAGGGTATAGCTTCACAAGTGACAGTCACTTTAATTCTCAAACTTGCTCTATCTTGTCACTGTTGAATACCACTGATTGCAGGCTCAGGCTGTGCACAAATCGTGACTGTTGTCTTAGTCAGCACGAAGCCCCGCTCCCTTCTGATGCTAAGCCCCACCCTTGCTTACCCTCTGACAGCTGAATGTCAGGGTAGGGCTTTATGTATATGTAAAGGCAAAATCTACCTTTCTGGTGATATTTATGGTGTAACATAAAACAAGGCCACATTCCTCAGCCCTCCGCTTACCTAAATCGCAGGGTTCTTCTCCCTGCATACCGCTGTTTTGTTTTGAATTAAATGTAAATGTGGCAGAGGGACTCATAGATCTCAATGGAGAACAAGTGTGGTGAACCACACTTGTAGTCTATTGGTTACTTCCTCCAGCCCTAAAATGCTAGATCTATAACTCTGTATCTCTGAATTGGGACTGGGGGGAAGAGTCTGCAGGAGCCTGTGCATTGTACCCGCGATACAGTGGTGCAGGCTCCAATGCAAAACTTCAAAAAATGCAAATTTTTTCTTTAATTAACGTAAGTGCATTTATTACATTTCTTACATTTTTACAAAAAAGTGCAATATGGTAAAGGTAAGTTAACCAAGCGAGACACAAGCAGTAAAAAACAACCTGACAGGGGTTTTAACCCTTCTCCACTCCATCCAAAACAAAAAAAGTTTTTGATATATATATATA